ACATACTATTATTAGTCTTTTTATATAAATATATATATACATACATATATAAATTGAATTTTGGGAAACTTTAACGGTGCTGCCAACTTTGGAAAAAGTCATCCCAATTTACTGTGTTGAGTTGGCATTGTACAGAAATGGACAGCCATATTGGTCTAGAAATGTTAATTTTTTTATTTTTATATTTAATTTTTTTCCATGTATACAGGGGTAACACATCGTACTAAATATGTAAGGTCATATCTACATGGGTTTGATTACAGAAACTAATAAAGTATTCTCTAAATAATGAAAAAAAAGAATAAGATAAGACTATAAGAGCAAGAAGCAATTTAAATATGTTCGGGGACCATTTTCATCTCCAGAATTAAGGATTATTTTAATGTCACATCATTGCCTTTTCTCTTTTACTTTCCTTTTTAGTTTTATTTTAGGATTCCCTATTTTGAATGTTCATACAGAGATTCCTTTAACTGAAATACCGAATAGTTTCTTTGGTGTGAAAAACTATAATAGTACACAGGATCCTAATGAGATAATTAATAATGTGAAATAGGAAGTAAAGGGCTAAAGGTGTAGGGAAAGTGGGAAGAGTGGGGGAAAGGTAATAAGGGAGAGGAAAAAATATGAGAAACTGAAAAAATGGAAACAAAGTGTTTGTAAATGGGGAGGGGAGGAGAGGGTGAAGGTAGGGCAGGGACAAAGGGAAAAAATGAGAATCAAGACCTAGTATGTAAAGGTACAGAATCCCAGTGATGAATGTAACTGTATTGTATACCTAGATTGTACCAATAAACTCAATAAAAAGAAAAAATAACATGAGAGAGGAGCATCTTCTAACTCATAAAGGATATTTAATGAGGTACTATGAGTAATGTAATACTTAATCATGAAATAATGAATACTTTTAAAATTTGGGGGAAAAAAGAAAGCCATTCATTGAAGAGGAGAGAACTTCTTGAAATTCATTCTATGTGGAAAACATTACCTTACCAAAAAAAAAAAAAAAAAAAAAAAACCCAAAAGAAAAAAAAAAAAAAAAAAAAAAAAAAAAAAAAAAAAAAAAAAAAAACCCAGAAAGGATACAAAATAAGAGAGCTATAAGCTAATATTGGTAAACACTGATGCAAATATCTTCAACAAAATACTAGCTGACTGAATGCAACAGCACATTAAAAAGCTTATTCATTATAATCAAGTGGGATTTAGCCGAGCTTGGTGGCACACACCTGTAATCCGAGCACTCAAGAGGCTGAGACAGGAGGATTGCTACGAGTTCGAGACCAGCCTGGGCTACACAGTGAATTCCAGGTCAGTCTCAACTACACAGTGAGACCCTGTCTCAAAAAAACCAAAAAATAAACAAACAAACAATCAAGTGGGATTTATCCCAAAGATCTAAGTATGGTTCAACATATGTAAATTGATAAGCACGATATACCAACAGAATGAAAGACGAAAACCATATGATCATTTCAACAGATGCAGAAAACACATCTGTTAAAATTCAAAATCTCTTTACAATAAAAGCGCTCATAAAAAATAATTAAAAAAAATAAATCCACTGATCAGTATCAGGCTTCCATGATGCAATCAACTTCCCAAAACCTCACCTATGACCTCATGAAGCTTTTAGGAGACATCTACATTTAAACCAAGACACATTATTAAGTAGAACTGTATGTTCTATCCTACAAGCATGTCACAGTGGAAAATGCAGCAAACCCTGATACAGTGTGATATCGTTTTATGGTGTGAACTAAGTTTCCAGCAGATTTACAAGATGATGAATGTTTAAATTTTTTCAAAAACTGTACTGCAGTAAAAGATATATTGCCATTCATGACCCTCAAAATATTCTTTTCACTACGAATACATTTATCCCATTGCTTTTGCCACATTCTGAAACAGTTCTGGAAATCCTCTTCTGTGATTATATTTAGTTGTGACATCGTAGCTGCCTTGATATCCTGAACACACTCAAAATGTTTACCATTCATAGTCATTTTGACTTTGGGGGTGAGCTAGAAGTTGCATGTTGCCAGATCCAGTGAATTAGGTGGATGAGAACACAGTGTGATTTTGTTTGGTTTTTGTTACCAGGGATCAAACTCCGGCCCTTGCGCTTGCGAGGCAGGCAGCAGAACCACTGAGTCAAATCCCCAACCCCAAGCTGTAATGTTTTTATGAGCCTCCCTTTCTGTTGGATGGTACTTGGCAGCCATATTCACCATATTTTTGACCCACATCTCATAAGGCTATTCACAAAGGAGAACTTCCAGAATTGCTTCAGAAAATGGCAAGAATGATTAAGTGTCTGAAGCGAGGGTGGTTTTAAGGATTCATGGCAATTTGTCTTTTACTGTAATAAAGATTTTAAGCATCCATCATGTATTTTTGATCACATCCTGTGTATATGTCATAGATGTATGTGTCAGTACAGTGAATAGGTGGATTCCATCTTAATGTAGTGGTGCCTTTTCTCTAAAGTTCTTACAGAATTCACCAGGAAATCCATCAGGACCTGAGCTTTTCTTTGTTGATAGTTTTTTATCATCATCATCATCATCATCATTATTATTTCTTCAATTTCATTGACTGATATAGGGTTATTTAGAATTTTTACATCTTCTGGCTCAGCATTGGTAATTTATATATATCTAGAAATCTGTCCCTTTCTTTTGAGTTTTCCATCTTATGAGAGTATAGATTCTCAAAGTACGTATTCATGATCTTCTGAGTTTCTGCAGTGTCTTAGAAACTTTTCTCACATTGCTGAGACAAAATACTGGAGACCCAAAGTAAGAGGAGAAAGGGTTTATTTAGCTCCAAGTTTGTAGAAGTCTCAGTCCTTAATCGGATGGCTCCAAGGCAGAGTGGCGCATGGCAGAGGGGCAAAGTTCATGGCGGCAGAAGACAGCAAAAGAAGAGAATGTAATAGTGTTTTTCTGCCTGTTTTATCTTATTCAGACTACTGGGATTAGGGTGATGCCAAACCAGTCACTCCCCTCTAATGGTTTAGTAATCACATGCCCTTAATTCCAGTATCACACATTCCAGATTTAGCCACCTTTGAAAAAGAAAGCCCCACCTCATCTTCATGAGTCTTTGGGGGACATCTAAACACAAACCATAACAATCTGTTGTGATTTCACCCTTTTCAGTCCTAATTGCAGGGATTTGGGTCTTTTCTTTCCTTTTTCTGATAAGGTTGGCAATGGGTTTTTCTATTTTATTTAATCTTTCAAAGAACCAACTCCTCAATTCATTGATTCTTTGTATTGTTTTCTGAGTCTGGATTGCATTAATTTCTGCTTTGATCTTTATAATTTCCTCCCTTGTGTGTGATTTAGGTTTACTTTGCTCTTCTTTTTCTAAAATCTTTTGGTTCAACATTAGGTTATTTATCTGAACTTGCACTGTTTTTCTGATGTGGGTAATCACAGCTATAAATTTCCCTCGTAGGACTGCTTTCATTGAGTCCCATAAATTCCAGTATTGGCATTATCAATTAATTGTAGAAACTGTCTAATTTCTACTTTAATTTCATCTGTGACCCACTGGCTGTTCAGGAGAGTGAGTGTTATTTAATTTCCATGTGTTTATGTAGTTTTCTGGTTTCTTTCACCACTGATTTCCAATTTCATTGCACTGTGATCTGATAACATGCATGGGCACCAGAGAGCAAAGTCTGTTTCATCTTCATATTCAGGTCTTACTATTGGTGCTCAATATATGGTCAGAGCATGCAAGACCAAACAGTAAGAGGAGCTGTGATTCTGGTGGGAAGAGAGACAGTTGTAGCACATAACCTTATGGCAGATTTCTAAAAAATCAAGTCACTAACCACAAAGTAAATGTTGCTGCACTAATATGTCTTACACCAAAAAGTATACATTTAGCACCAAGATTTCCAGGCACACACTTTTAAGTGTAACAAAGTTACATTACAAAAGAATTTGACTATTCTGTAAGGTTTATAAAATGGAAATTTCTACAACCCTTCATTACAAACACCAAAAAGATTATGAAAATGTTTTGGAACTAGATAGAGGTGGTAATATGCCACCAAATTCCTCACTTTAAAATGGCTCATTATATGTTGTGTATGTTATGTAAATTTCACCTTAGTTAAAGAGTCTAAACACAATAAATTTTATCATATCTCAGATTATTAGATCACCAGGCATTCTAGTCACTCATCTAGTTCCCCTCCCAAACCCATCCTTACCTCTTTCATTAAATATGGCTACAGGGGGCTAGGGATTTAGCTCAGTGGTTCCACCACCTGCCTTGAAAGCAAAAGGTCCCGAATTCGATCCCTAGTATCCCCCCCCAAAAAAAAAACATGGCTACAGGTTTTGCTTATCATGTCCCACCCTTGTATCTCATTAACACATTCTTGGGCAGCTGCATTTTTCTTTAAATCATACCTCACCACTTACCATGTCTGCCATCACCAGGGACAGAATCTCCCTGCTTAATTCTCCCAAAAATACAACCAATATAAAAGAATAGTATTTAGCAAAGCCCTCCTGATAACTTAAGAGTGAACTAAGGAAATTATGATGTAAAAGAGATAAAACTATGTTTGCTTCAAGAAGTCAGGGGCTATAAAATACACCATTAATTTAATAAATCCTAGGAGAACAAGAACTATTTCATTACATATTTACAAAACTTTTATATTTGCTAAAAACACACATCCCACAATTTCATTCATTTTCCCCCAGTGTCAAAATGCATCTTTATACTGTGAGTTTAAAGGTTCTTCTCCCATTTGCAGTTACACATACTATTACCCAAAAAAGGTTAGAATTTGTAACTGTGCTTAAGGCCTGACCTTTTTGCTCTTTAGAATGGATAATATGATTCTGAAACTCAACCAAAACCTCCTAGGTGATGTGTGCTTACTATTTAAAAACACTTACAGTGTTTTTTAATCATAAGGCCCCACTGTAAACCCACAGAGCAGCATCAGGCTGCCACTTGATTCTTACCTGTTTGACCCTTCAGAACAAAGTGGGATCCCAAAACTCTGGGCTTGTTGGTGGAACAAAAAGTAAATATGGCTTCAAGTTCCAAAATATTTCCTCAAGTCTTGCCCAGGAATCTTATATATACACACATGCAGACATTGCCTCTGACTTTTATTAAATTAGAAGCAGAACTGAATTTGACAGGGCTCATTCTAAAATGAGCCGATAACATATCCCCCATCCTTGGTCCCATCCTATCACCAGGATAAGATTTCTAAGAAAGGAATTTCTTTCACTGGTGATTAAAAGATTTGCTATACTTAAAGAGGGAGATCTTTTATATACACACATGCAGACATTGCCTCTGACTTTTATTAAATTAGAAGCAGAACTGAATTTGACAGGGCTCATTCTAAAATGAGCCGATAACATATCCCCCATCCTTGGTCCCATCCTATCACCAGGATAAGATTTCTAAGAAAGGAATTTCTTTCACTGGTGATTAAAAGATTTGCTATACTTAAAGAGGGAGATCTTTTCTTTCCTTTTCAAATGGAATGATTTTCTAAGTAACATTAAAAATACTCAAAAGGACTTCCTGCCTTCATTAGTAACACAAAAGTAAATCCTTGGCACCACTAGATCCGCTGGGATTGTAATCCCTCCATCATGGAGAGCAATCTGAGCACCAAATGTCAAGCCCAGGTGGACTGGCGTGTGAAATATTAAAAATATGTCTACCCACAGGAACTGAATTAGGCTGAGAAAATAATTTCAAAATCTAAAGTAATTCATTTAGAGTTTCATATGAAGCAAATGAATTGAAAGTGACTAGAAATGTCGTTAAATAGAACCACAGCCCAGAAATTGCCATCAGGTTCTGTGTCTTTGTTTAATCTCTTCAGATTAAAAAAAAATGAACTTAGCTGAGCTACCGTTCCACAGATCCCAGTTCATCCTAGGAAGTGCATTTATTCACTCTAACAAGAATGAATAATAAGCTGGTCTGACCTTCCAAAAGAAGACAGAAATATTATGGTTACAAGCAAGAGTTTTTGTGTCAGGCAGAAACATTCCCCAGACAATGTAAATTTAGTTAACTTCTCTGACCTTCAGGTTCCTCAACTGTAAAAGTGAGACAATGCCATCTACCTCATAGTTCTTGTGAGGGCTTCATGAGATAATATCTTTAAAGTGTTTCAATGAATAAATTGCATATAGTAACAGGCATCTAAGTAGTTATTTATGGCAAAATGGGCAACTGGGCCTTTTACCTAGAAGACAGAAGCCTAGTGTGTTAGCTTTCCACCACTGTGGCAGAATAGCTGCCAACCACAACTTAAAGGAGGGAAGGTTTATTTTGGCTCACAGTTTCAAATGTTTCAACCCATGGTTATCTGGCTCCAAGCCATGGTGAGGCAGAGTATCATGACAGAAGTGTGTGGCAGACAGAGCAGAGCTGCTCACCGAAGGGCTGGGGGCCAGATACAGGTCCCAAGGTCACACTCCCATGAGTCCTTCAACTAGGCCCCACTTCCTGTTTTCAGACTGTCCCAATAATGTCATCTCTGATCTCATCAGTGGGTCAATCTACTGAGGAAGTTACAGCTCTCATGATTCAGTCACTTCAAAAGCCCACTGGTTGAAGGGAAGCAGGGTGTAAACCTATAATCCCAGCGCTCTGGGAGGTTGAAGTAGGAGGATTGAAAGTTTGAGTTCAGCCTGGACAATTTAGTAACTTAGTGAGACTTTGTCTCAAAATAAAAAAGTAAAATAAAATGACTGGAGATGCAGCTGAGTGAGCAGACTCTGGGTTCAGTCCCCAGTACTGGGAGGAAAGAAAAGAAAAAACAAAAACAAAAACAAAAACAAAAAACACTTGTTAGTTGCACCTGCAACAAAGCCTTCAACATGATTAGCTTTGGGTGAACATTTATATGATAACCATAATACCTGACAAAAACTCAGTAAATAAAGCAGAAGAGAGTAAATGTAAAATTTTTACAGTATTTGATGATCCTTGCCACAGTGACTGGTTCAGTACTAAGAGTGTGATCTGAGCAAGGTACAAAAATATGAACGCAGGACTTTCTCTGGGGCTCCTAAGAGGAAATAACCCCTTTAGGAATAATACACTGTGAGGGCATGAATCTGCATTTGCAAGATGCCATCTTTCTGCCTCATGAGAATGATGCCCAAACAGGAAAGCAGAGCTAAAAGACAACAAGGAAAAAAGAGTAAGACAGTATATTGATGACCTCCGACAGCTCTGGATCCAGCTTTGCATAAAGCTATATCTACTATTGAAATTATCCTTGTTGCAGAACCTGCTTGAGATCGGATCTTTGTTTCTTGCAACTAAGGATTTCTCACTAATATAGCTTGGCCCTGGGCAGAGAGGACTTGTGGGGAGTTAGGACAGAGGAAGGTGTTGCTGCTCCTATGACTTCCACAGCCACAAAGCAAACCCACTGCCTTTGGTTTCCTTCCTGTCCCTGAACCCTTGTAGGAATGAGATGTATATAAATTAGTATGACAGTATTACTTATTAATATTTTATTATTACAAGCTTAGAAAACCAAAGGTTCAACTTTGACTTTTCCATAGGATTTAGCACACTTGCAGAAGATATCACATAGCAAATGGCACACAGAATTTGGAGCAGACAATGTACCTGGATATTTATTTGGATACAATCATTCAAGTTGCTACTGTAGGGAAAGGGCAAAGGGCAGGTCATTATAGTGTCCTCTTGTCCTCCACTTTTAGGAAACCCAAGATGTTTCTCTCTAGTATTGTCCATTGACCACTCCATAACATTTTGCTTGGTGTCCCTTAAATTATGATTGCCCATTTCATTTATTTCAGAATTTTAAAAAAATTTGTAT